TCCACCAAAGTTTGTGCGGATTCGACTCAAATGTAATGGACTTGGTGTTATATTGTTAATGCCTGGTATTTAAACCCTCACACTGCCAACTTTGCATTTGTCTTGACATGTTTGATGATATGCTCAAAGATCCACACCACGCCCAATCAAGATTACATCATAAAGGAAAGCTACTGAAAGCCACATTATAAATTATAAAACTATTGTATCAGGCTGAATGTTCCTCATTTCTGCAAGTAAAACAAACGTCATGTAAAGAATGGACAGTTCGTTATAAAACCCATTTGTTTTGAAAGCCTTACTTTTTCTTCCATTCTTTGACTTTCAATTTGTTTATGTTTCCCATGACGCCTAGCCGTGGGAGGGTTCTTTGAGAAAAGCTGCGTACCAGGTGCAAACCAGCCCGGTTTACCCAGCAACCTGTGTGGTCTGTGTGTGGGCACCGAATCAGGACAGAACAAGTGTGAGAAGGGAAAAGACCTGTATGATGGATACGACGGTGCCTTCAGGTAACACCCCAAACCCCTGCACTGCATCAAAGTTACATTTTTCACTCCAATTTGTCCCTGTATCCCCAACAATATAATACATGTTAATGAACATGGGTGCATATAGACCGTTGGAAACCTATTTCTGACAGAATGACTGCGCTACAGCTGCTTAATTCATCCAAAATGACCCTATTAGTACTTTAATCCTTAGGTTTAACCCACCGGCACATCATTTTAAGGTCTGTGATTGGATGTTCCTTGCTGAAAAGCATGGAGTTAAAATTAACTTCACCCTCATCTTTTGTACGGATGATTGAACTCAATGTTATGGGACTTTGGGGAAAAGTGCACCAGTAAAAACTTCTCTAATTAGCAACTGTATTGCCTCCAATATCAAATGTTATTGAACGTTGCACCCATACTGCATGTGTCTGTCTATCTGTCCTTTCAGGTGTCTTGCAAAAGGAGATGGAGATGTGGCTTTTATCAAACATTCTACTGTCTTTCAAAATACTGATGGTAAGACAACAAACTTCAAGAAATAAAATGTTCTTATAAGAGTCTCGTAATTTTAAGGGACATCATTTTTCTTTGTGTTTGTTCAGGTAATGGTGAAACGTGGGCAGTGGATCTCCTGTCTAAAGACTTCCAGCTGCTGTGCTCTCAGGACACTAAAGCTGAGGTAACACAGTACAGACACTGCCACCTGGCCAGAGTCCCCTCCCACGCTGTAATGGTACGGCCCGACACCAACATCCACGCCATCTATGGACTACTTGACCGCGCACAGGTAAAAGTATTAATATGTCTCTAGCTTATACAGCGTACGGTCTGTAACACTGTACCGATTGATTCAGAGGGTGTAAGCCAACCAAGTAAAGAGATCTGAAACAATAATTATATAAATTATTCTCCACTGTAAAGGACTCACAGATTTCTGAGACCAAATGTAGGTGTTCGTACATGAGATTTGATGTTTTGATGATTTTTGGTGGTGCATCAAATATGCTCTGACGTCTGAGAATTATTATTTGGGCGCCAGAAAGCATGTTGTTGGACAATATAATCCAACAGAAACAGCTAACAGGAATTTAGGAAGAAAATGGTGTCTGTGATGTTTATTAAGTTCCTTTTTATTTCTGTTTCCCTATAGACATATTTTGGCAGTGATACAGGTACTGAGTTCAAGATGTTTGACTCGAAGGAGTACAAGGGCACAGACCTCATCTTCAAAGACTCCACTGTTATCCTTGTCGGTGTTGGTGACAGGAAGACCTACCAGGAGTGGCTGGGCCAGGGCTACATGGACTCGCTGGTTGACCTGGAGTGTAACTCATCCAGTGCAGGTAAAAACAAACAAAATAGCTAAAGTCACTCCACACTATCCAATGTAAATCAGAGGGATTTTTCTTTTTCTTTTCATGTTTATTTGTGTGGGTATAACCAAAGCAACTGAAATGTTGTAAATTGAAAAAAGGGTGAAGGGTGAAGAAAGCAAATGTTTTCTCCGACAAAGTCTAGATATCACTTTAAATCGTTAAACAGGTCTGCCAAGTAGATCAACAATGTCTAGTATTCGGTAGTTCTATATTTTAGCAAAGGCTAATTCATTTTTTAAAGTCAACTATGTGGACAGGACAGATAGTTACAATTGTGTCACTATGTATGATAATAAAAAAAAGGATGAGCAAATTAGCAGCCTCTTGTAATTACCGGTATAACTGAAGAGTGGAGTGCAATTAGGATATAGATCATTCAGCCATAAAATAAATACACAGATAGGGGAGCTTTCTAATGATTTCCATTGTTTTCTTACCTACAACATATTTAATATCTCTTTTTTTTGTTTGTACTTACAGTGAAGTCCTCTGTATTGCTGCTGCTGATGGCTTTGTTCAGCTTCATGCTGACCGACCTCTGGATGTAATGTGTTGCAGGCGTCCAGCAACGTCTCCAACTCACTTTCATTACTTTTTTCTCTATTTCTAATCTATTACCACTTTACATTCCTTTTTCCCTTCCCATGACTTCCCCTTCTCCATGCCTGATTATTTTGTCCATTTTCTCTCAAGTTTCTAAGAGAAATTAAGTGAAATTATCAGTTCGTAACTTTCTACTATTTTTTTATCTTACAAATTGCATAATTTCTTACTAATAGTTTTTTTTTTTTATATATGAGAGAGTCATGTTGGAGCTGCCTTTGGATTTAAATGGTGCTGGTGTCGGATGGAAGCACATTGCCTCGTGGTATTGTGGCAGATAAGAGAGTTTAGTTGCCAAAGACTTTCAGCCTGTGTGAATCAGACATGATGAGAGAATGTGCTGCTGCCACTTTGTTTACTGAAGGTGGGCTGCCATATCAGTGTGTATGCGGCCACCTGTTACATTTCCTTAGTGGCTGGCTCATTCCCGTCTCTCTGAAGCTAATTTTACAAAGAACCGACAATCTGATGATGAACTTTTACATGAGTCCTTAATAACATTGGGATCAATTTATGATATCATATAATTGATATTACTTACTTACTTTTAAATATGAGTAACAAAATGCTCTATGAGTTTGGAGCTAGAGCCAGGAGTTGATTAGCTTAGCTTCGCCTACCTTTAGCTTAGCTTTTCGCCATATTGAACCTTCAAAACTACATTTTTAAAAGGCTTTATGTAAGTATAGAAGTCATATTGCTGTTCCGTTCTGCTGCCACTTGCTGTGTGAGTACTACTAACTAACACAGCCTTTCTTTAGTTTAGGCTGTGTCGCTAATATAAGCTAATGCCATATCAGTGAATATGCACTAGTGTTGCCTCCACACAGAGCTGTGCTGGGGATAGTGTGATGATGAGTGGCTGAGTGTTCATCCATAGGCTGTCTGCTTCATGTATTCTCCTCAAACACCTCAAATCAAGTTGAATATATTAATCTGGTTTATATCTTATTATTTTGATCACAAATGGAAACTGCTTTAGCAGCAGATAGTCAGCATACACTTGCAGCCATTTCTCACACCTTGTAAGCATTCCATTTCATACATTTGGAAACACATGGAGTAGGCTCCATCAGATTTGGGGAGAACATAAAGAAAACATCCTGTGGTTTGTGCTGAGAGTGAATGGATTGTGTTTGTTTGGATGCTTTGAGTCAAAGAGGAGTTTGTGTTAATTAGGAGGAGACAACACGGTTTAATAATATGTTAATGTGACTTCAACTTTCATAGTTAAAAAGGGTTTGACTTGCATTTGTGTTTGACTTGGAAACATACATTGATCCCGTTTTGGTTTAAAACGGGTTGTGGCTTGATATATTTAGTAATGCAATGTTTGTGTCCAATTAATATAATAGCTAAAAGGAAATAAATGTTTATGATAGACCTTTCTGAGTAAAATAAAATCTGCTCTCATGTACTCTAACCCAAACAACTCACTCCAGACATGTGTTAACTCAAACTAACTTGCTCAAGTCATATCTACTGTACTTCATGCTGCTTGATGCTGTTTCCTGTTTTAAAATGATGATTAGATGTGTATTTTCCTATGTTAAGAGATTTATTTTTATATGATGTTCAGATGCCATATCAGTGTATATGTGCTGACTCATGCTGTCAGAAACTAATGCATTCTCTTCCTCCTGATAGAGATTTATTTCTATGTGAAATGATGTAACATGCGACTAATATTTAGTTGCCAGACCAGTGAGTCTGCACAAGTATTGCTACATAAAACTGCCTAAATGAGCTGTTTTCTGTGCTTCAAATAAAATAAAATAATTTTAAACGCATGTAGTTTGGCCATTCTCTGAGTGTCTGTGTGTCATATTGACAAAGCCAAGCCCCAACAAACATTTATTCCCATTTGAAAAAGGACTGGTAAATTTGCAGCAGTAACATTTTTTGTTTTTGTTTTAAAGTTTAAGTGTAGAACTAACAGTTATTTTCATAATCAATTGATCTGCCCACTATTTCTTTGATTAATCCACAAAAGTGGAATTACATAGGACCCATGGTGACATGTCTCACTGATATAAAAATGGTCTATACTGACAAGAAACACATTCTAGCATTTGTGCTGAAATCATCAAATGTGTCCTTGAAAAATTACTTCAAACAATTAATGAATCAACAAAAACCAATGCTGAAAAGCATTTAGATACGTATTGAATAATTATTCTAGCTCTTTGTGAAAGTATCTACAGTATTTTGGTCAACGTTTTGTCAAGGCAAAGGGAAATCGGAGCAAGGAAGCATAATTACATACATTACCACAGCAGTAGGAGCAATACAATCTCATTTTATCTCTTACTCTTTGCAGCATATCTCTGTGATGGATGCAGATGAACTATGAGTTACAACTTGGAGGCAGTGGACTGTGAACTCCTGACTCTGCAAACCTGACACAACCTTTCTTAAAGTCATTGACCTCAGTGGTTACATTTGCATAGGTACACAAACATGTATCTCCCTGTGATCTAATTAAAACATTTATACAGATGAAACAGTAATTTCCTAGCAGTCATAGTGCTGTCATACATTATAATCTTTATTTTTAAAATCGGACCAACAAGGTGAATAATGTCTACATATCCTCATCACATCTTTCTCTATATGTACATTTTGACCCACCAAATGATTTACCAAGACAACTTTATGTACATTACTTTAAAAGCATTTTGAGTAGATATATGTCATAGTGCACATTGGTGACGGGAAAAGGTAACGGGTAATGATGGTTTGGTATTTCACATTAATCTGACAAGACCTAGATAAAAGGCTGTTCAACAGGGTCTAATGAAATTACTATGAATTGTCAGCATTTCCACAATATTTCCAAACCTATAATGGGTCCTACTTTTCCACAGTTGTTTGTAAAGATAAAATAGACACTTTCCATCCCTGCATTCTCAGAAATGCAAATACAGTGAATTCATTCTGTTAAACCACAGTTCATCATATATTATCTGGCCTTAGATATTCAAAATCACTCCCTGATTGTAAACTGGATCAGTGTCTAATATGTTGCAGTTTACCACCACACGGTTATAGTGTATGGATGAGGCAGATTGTTTATACATGACTTCCCATCTGTCCTCCTCCAGTCATTGTTGATTCACCATGGTTTCAGCTTATCAATAACCGCCCACTAAAGTGTATTCACAGTCTCTTTGACATCCTATATCCAGCCTGTCGTGTTTACTTCTTGATCTGTCTGGAGCCGTCCTTCCATCCCTGCTTCACCTCATTCACAAAGGTGTCACTGACTTTCTTCAGGATGCTGCCCATCTGCCCCAGGTCCCCGGGGACTTGGCCGGCCTCATGCCTCACCTGTCGCATCGTCTGAGACTGCATGACCCGCTGAGAGGCGTCTTTACCGGCTATCTGAGCCTTGGTGATGGCGTTGGCTGTGATCTGTGCCGCCCTGCGAATCGGACGAGACTCTGCCAACTTCTCAACAACACGGTGGTTGTTGAGGAGGTTGAATAAGAACCGGAGGAGCATTGTGTCGAGAGGTTTCCCGAATACTTTTGACACTTTAGCTTAGACAGCTAACTTAGCGCTCCCGTCGCTTTCGTGTATTTCTGCCCTGTAATGACAACAACAACAACGTGTAGCGTTAGTAAACTGGAGATAATGATATCCGACGGTAGATTATACATTAATGTGTGCTGCGGTTGTGGCGTAAATAAGTATACATAAAACAGTTACTGACTTACTTCAGCTGGTTCAGGTGACCACTAGTAGGTCGCCAAAGCAATGATATAACAGACTGTAGTAGAGTGAGGCTGAAGTTGGTTTCACGTTCTATTCATTTAAATTTCAACCGCACGTATACTTATCCACAACTGCGTCTCTACCAATATGAAGCTAACTTCAATTTATGGGAAATTGTTTTCCGGATGTTTTAGGTGGTAACACCATTCAGTAAAGTGCTTCCGGTTGAATCATACGTACATCCGTTTTCAATGCCAGATTTCCCAGCTCGTTTCCGTTGATCATCCTTCCCAACATTCGCACACGGAGCGCTGAGATTCGTCATCTCAGAATTGAACTCTCAAACCCGTGGACACTGTGAACCGCTGCCATGCGTTTGCTTTTGTTTTTCGCCGTGACCATGCTGTCTCTGATCCCGGCGGCAATGAGCGGAGCCGAGAAGAAAAAGCTGCAGATCGGCATCAAGAAGCGAGTCGACAACTGCCCCATCAAGTCCCGCAAAGGAGACGTGCTGAACATGCACTACACCGGCAAGCTGGAGGATGGCACTGAGTTTGACAGCAGCATCCCCCGCGACAGGCCCTTCACCTTCACCCTGGGGACCGGTCAGGTGATCAAAGGCTGGGACCAAGGCCTGCTGGGAATGTGCGAGGGCGAGAAGAGGAAGCTGGTCATCCCCTCCGAGCTGGGCTACGGAGACAGGGGAGCTCCCCCAAAGATCCCCGGAGGAGCGACGCTCATCTTCGAGGTGGAGCTGCTCAGCATCGAGAGGAAATCCGAGCTTTGATGAACAGGAGATGAGGGAACTTTCGAAACGTACGTTTTTTATAAATGTGTGGTTTACACTGATTTGGATGCCTCCGATTCTTACCTTAACACCATCCATTGTGTAGGCCTAAATCATGCCTGGAAAACAACATGGCCTCGGTTTCCTGTGGGGTAATCTGATTAAATGCAAATGAATTTAGAGGTGCTCCATCTAAACTCAGAATTACATTACAATAAATGTATTTCAACTAGATTTAACTCAGAAAACATGCGTCAAAATTATATGATAAATCAAATTAAAAAAAATATATAAAAACAAGCCACATGTTAGTATGTTATTGAATCTCAGTGACAGCTATTCGCCACATTTAAATAAAGTAAATACCTCTCAATGTTGCAGTGTTTCATGTTCGTCTACTATGACTTAATTAAAAAAAAATATATATATATATATATATATACACAATTTAACTCAACAAAGGGACCCTTAAAACCCTCTTCAAACTACACCACTTTGAGATTTTCAAAGCGTTTCAGCTTTTTTTAAATCTTATGAAAAAACCTGTTGAACCAGCTTCCAATCCCAAAATGCTTTAATCTTCATGCATAATATTAGGAAATAAACTTGTAAACCTTCTGCGGTCACACCCTTGTAACTATGGATGCAAACAGACTCCCAAAGAGTGATGAAAAAGTTGACAAAAACTCCATTGAACTCCATTGAACTCAAAACTAGACATTTCTTGAGAGAAGCAGAAAATCCTGCTTTCTAAGCCGCTCGCTAGCTCATATTTCTTACACCACAAACCTGAACTCTAGATCAAGGCGTTCGGCTGCATTTTTTAAATAATATTTTCACTATAGGTGTCACGGTTCTGACTGGAAAGAGAATATTTTCTAAATGTAACCCCTTCAACACCTGTGCTTTTTTGCACCGTTTGGATTACATTTCAAATTTGAAGGTTTTACCATTAATTTACCATTTTTCTTTCAGGTTCCAGGAGCTGCTGCAGCATTACGTGGAGATTATCTGACCTCTGATGAAGAACTTCATGGAAAATCTGGGAGTAGAGTTAGCAACCCCCTGGCAGAGCCACTGTCCTTGTTTCACTGGCTTTGCCCATTGTGCTCTGATTTATTGGTCTGAAGTTATTACAAGATGTGATGTATGTCCGTGCTTAACAAACTATGAGCAGTGAGCAGCTAAACACAGTATTTGGCTGCAGGTTGGAAATAAAGACATGCCCTGCAGTTTCAGTTCATCTGTGTTTCTAATTGTCTCTGATTTTATAAGTGTGATCATTTGTACATTCTTTTCATAGAACAATTTTGGTTGTTGTTGAATAAGTCAGGAAAGGATGGTTTAGTATACATGTTTTTTACTTTTTAAGTATTTGATAAATGACAATAAAATGTTAAATTGAAGGGGAACTTTGCAGTCTGATGTGGTTTTGTTGAACAACATTTTTTTCATACACATAGATAAAATCTGTAGGGAAACGTGTGTGGTTATATTTATCTACTTCAAATATATAAAATGTATTTAAAAATGTTCTTTAAATATCCAAAAGAAAACACAAAAAGCAGTCTCAGTTACCAGTGACACAGATGGCAGCAGCCAATAGAAAAGCACCACATCACACAGTTCAACTGCCAGCTTCCATCATGTCATGTGCCCCGGGGCATTTCTCTCTCTGTAGCCATGAGTTTAATCAATGGATGGAGGATTAGACATTTGGTGTATCATATAATGTAAGGGGTGCCAATTTTGGATTTAGCTATAACTACTTTAATTTGGGAAATGTTAGACCATATTTAGGTCTCAAAATTCTCGTGGTTCCAGTAAATTGTGATTTTGGATTGTTATGTGAAATGTATTACAGAATGAGCGACGTCTATAAGCCCTTCATATTTTTGATTTACATCAAACAAAAATAGAAGTTTTTATTTTTCCCCCCAGAAACACAATAATGATAGTGAGCCCCACTCCGAAGCAGGAGGGGCGGTAATGCAGCTCGCACGCAGGTTGCTATGAAGAAAGTACGGACAATATTTTTGACGGACAAGTAAACCGGAAGTTATCTCTGCGGACTCGCTCCGGCTGGCTCTCTGCGATTTGTTCAACATGTCTGCTAAATTAAACGCGTTGCATAGCGACTCTTATGTTGATATCAGTCAATACAGAGACCAACATTTTAAGGTGAGCTTCAAATTAGTTTAAAAGACTGGAATCATTTATTGTAATGTCAAAGTGACGGTTTATCATGTTAGCTTACAGTTAGCAACAGTTAGCTAACAACAGAGAGGGCAGCTCACGCTTTGTATGGAGGCGTTTATTGCTTTGTAACCTTAGGTTTAACTCATTCAAGATATGATAATGTATTAACTACTTGACCCATATTTTATTACCATGTTTTATTTTGCATTCTACCGCAAGCGTCTCCATTGCAGTAGCTTAACGTTTAATTGAGTTTGTATTTAAACAAAGCCGCTCACTGGAGTTCTCAGACGTTAATCGGAGTTGATTTGAAATCAAGAAATACCTGACGTAAATCCACTGAGGTGCTTTAGATATGGAATAATGAGGTACAAATTAAATTAACGGCGCTGCTTGTGTTTTTAGGGTAACCGCTATGAACAGGAGAAGCTGCTGAAGCAAAGCCACACTTTGTATGTTGGGAATCTCTCCTTCTACTCCACAGAGGACCAGGTAGGAAACACTAAAAATAAGTATATTTGTGTGCACAAGCAAGTATTTAAATCAATAAGTCTCACTGTTCTGTTTTTTAGAATCAAATACCGCATAATCATCATGTTCTTTTATGTTAATAAGCTGATAAATTAGGCTCCGTTCAAATAAATGACTTTTTTCTGTATACACTGGGCTTGTTATGGCATATGACTTGTTGTCCCCAAAGCCGTGTGATTACAGCTGTTAGTGATCAGTAATAATTTGGATTTGAGTGTGGTTAACGTTTGCATTTATGTTTTTTAATCAGAGACAAAAGCTAGTTTAAAATATTGAAATGGCGGTATACTTTTTACCAATTTAATTGTTAAAAGTATTTACAGGTAATTATTTAATGCTCAACAGATCATTTTTATAATAACTTGTATTCTCTTTGTAACTGCAGGTACACGATATCTTCTCTAAAGGTGGAGACGTCAAGCGCATCATCATTGGTCTGGATAAAGTGAAAAAGACAGCCTGTGGATTCTGCTTTGTAGAGTATCCTTTTATATGAAAAATACTTTATTTAACCTACAGCAAACACTCATATCTGTCAACAATCTGCTGACGTTTAACTAACATTTTACCACTATAGCTTAAAGTGATCATGTTTTCTAAGTGTACTAGTCTGCAACAGACCGTAACTCCTGCTCTACCAGATACTACACTCGGACAGGAGCAGAAAACGCCATGCGCTTCATTAACGGCACACGGCTGGACGACCGTATCATCAGGACAGACTGGGACGCCGGCTTCAAGGAGGGACGGCAGTACGGCCGCGGCAAGTCTGGAGGACAGGTGAGGAGGATTCAGACACTTAAGATAGATACAGTTCAGAGAGATGCACCGAATGGTTTATTGGCTTAAAATAAACGGTCTACATATCAGCAAACCAAACATTTGTGTGTACAGAATCTGTGTATAACAAAATCTGAAATGTCTCACTAAAGAATACAATAGAATATACAGTTTGGCAGTGCTTCCTACATGGTGAATATATGTTAGGTATATGGTGAAGTAGCGAAAATCATTGCTGCCCTCCCCTGGGTGGTGTTCTGGATCTCCTGCCTTTTCATTTGTGTCGTTCATATTGAAAAGTTTTGGAAAACAATTGTCATGGCCTGGCTCTTGGCCATAACAAAAAGCGTGGGAAGGACAAGAATATATAGGAAACGGTATTTATTTAACAAAACTCAATGTGGCCAAAGACAAACAAAAAGGCAAGGCAAAAAAGAATAGACGACGTGGCTGCTCTCCGAGGTCCGGTCCTCTGCGGGGAGAGAGATCGAGAGTCTGCTCAGGCCTTTAAATCCTCCGGTGCCAGCAGCCAGGTGTCCTCAATCAGCGCTGACACAACAGAGGGAGAACATTAAAGGGCCATACACACACACCACAGGAGACAGTAAAGCAGGGGTCGTCACACAATATAAAACACAGCATGCTATGGTATTTAAATGATGGCATTTACGGAGAAAAAAATCAACACACTACATTATGACATTTGAAAACACCAGTATGATATTTAGAAAGTGAACTCTTGTCCAAAAATAAATTATGCATGCCTCACCGTGGCCTTTGTAGAGACAGCATTAATATAGCATGGCATTTGAAAAATGAAAGATATTATGCTATTAACTAATGCATAATAATTTCAAATGGGTTGTATTGCTGCACAATAAGCTTTCTGACTGAGTGTTAATGAAGAAGCATAAATATTGTACTAAGAACTGGTTTATTGGGGGTGAAAAATAGACAATTGCCCTTAATTATATAAATGATTTGGACCCCCAGCATTAAAATAATGAATAATGTGTATTTACTGTAACCCTCTGATTGTGTTCTCCTGTAGGTGAGAGATGAGTACAGGCAGGACTACGATCCGGCCAGAGGCGGCTACGGTAAGCTGGCTTCGCAACATCGAGGCGCGGAGGTTCAGAATAGTTTTTAACTGAACCCCACTGCAGGTGTCCCCCCTCTCAGTCCTGGACCAGAACCACATCATGCTACCACAGACAGTTAGTCGCTGTGTAACCAATACAGCTCTACAGCTGGTCTGCACGGACCACTGGAGCCTGGAAAATAGCAGCTTTTATTTATTTTTTCTCTGTCTTTCATACCGGCTAACAGTTTACAAGTTATCACAAGCCAAACTCCAAACTCACGGTGTTTTTATTTGTGCATTGACATACCCGCAACTCCCTTTCAGGCTGGGAGAGGCTCTGATGATATGTGGTGACTGAGTTGATGATGTGTCAAATAACAAGACTGTTTAAGGATGTTGTTGTGTCTCAACGTTGGGTTAAAGGTAATCCTCTGAACGAATAGAAAGGATGCATTCTGTTATCTTAACTGGTTTCCACAAATGAAACTTGGTGTCCCAAATTGGGTATGCTTTTTTTAAATAAAGATTTTCATTTTTGATGAGTCATGTTTTCTTTTCCTTGTCACCATATATGAGATTTTAATCCAATAGTCTCTGCTTAAATTTAAAGTGGACCTATCATGGTATATTTAAATGATATATTATAGGGCCATACCTATATAAGGTATTTTTATACGTTTCTGTTTTCAAAATACCAAACAGATCATGCATTTTAGCCATGCCTCATTTCTCTCAATTTGCACTTTTTTTTAGCTCTGCTCTGCAAGGGCAGATTCAGTGAGAACAGCACCATCTACAGGCCTGGCATATGTACTACAGCGTCTCCAGCGCTTTCGAACGGCAATGGCCGTGGCTGTCTCCTCCTGATTGGTGGAGTTGGCCCAATAGCCGTAGCGCCACTGTCCTGACGTCAGGACAGTGTTCAAATCTGGATCAGTTTTTATCAGATCCGTTGCAGCCCCTTTTTTAGAGATTTGGGTATGGAGGAAAATAGAGAGGGTTGTGTTTTCTGACACTTGGTGAGTTCCCTGGAACACCGGGGACACATATTCATGTATAAAAGACGTACAAAAGTGCATTTTGCATGATAGGTCCCCTTTAATGTATGCTTTTTAGGGGAGAATACATTAACATATTGCATAAATACACATGTGTTGTCTTGTCTGTATTTTTGCAAACTAAGCAGAAACAAGTGATGTTGTCCCTTAAACCTTAATGATTAATAGGTACTTTGGCCTGGGGAAATAATTTCCATTCCCATCACTAACAAATCCCCTATTTTAAATACAGACAGCTGCTTGTATTAATGTCAAGCAGACCTAGCAATCATTACTGCTTTGGAGTGTTTTTGTCCAACTGATATTTGCTCGACCTTTAGGTTATTTTTAGCTGTTATGTCCTAACTTTCTCATTAGGGAAATATTTAGCTCACATCACAAAGTTTACCAGCTATCTTGTACTTTGTCAGTCTGCTGTCTTGTGCTGGAAAGTAGGGTTTAGATAAATCCCGCTGTTGGACACTGCTGCTGGTGAGAGTGAATGAAAATAGTATATGGTCTGTTTATCCAAAACAATGAGCTTAAATAAAGTTGGGGTTTGTAACTAGTGACTCATTTCTTATAAGACAAAGTCTTATTTGTTATTTCATATACAAATGCAAAATAACTGCTTAAATATATTCGAATCTCAGAATAGCTTTGTTTCCTTGATTCTATCTTCTTTAAATCTAAATGAAGACAAGCCAGAGGTCCTCTAAACATTAGCAAAACATTTTTTTCCCTGAATGAAGACCTCAAGTAATTCTTACACTTCCAGTTTTTTATTGATTCTTTCCAGGAGAGGAATACATCAGACGTAAGTTATAATCAGTGGTCAATGTCTTAGCTGAAATGCCATTAAACAAAGATTCTTCAAATCAGGGCTTGTCCGGGATTTGAACCCGGGACCTCTCGCACCCGAAGCGAGAATCATACCCCTAGACCAACAAGCCATAGATGGTCAACAGTATATTTAATCCATACTTTTTTCAATAAAGCATACTGTTAAATGTGTCTTTGCAAAACTTGTAAAGGATCATACATGTGCTGTTTGCATTCAACACTTCATTGTGATTAAACACATTTGAACTGTACAAATGTTAAAGTGCAGGGAAATTGCAATTCTATTTTGTCATGCACCAATCTTCTGCATTTTTTAATAACACGTCTACTGATACAGTTTAGATAATGTCCATACTGTATGCATAGTTTTGTAAATATGAAATGGACATGGATGTTAATTATCGTATCATCCTAATTGAAGTGTAATTCAGAGCATTGCATCAATAACAACTTTTGGGAGCCGGCAAAGTTCAGGTTGAGGACAGCCTCTCCTTTATCTTTGCAGCCAAGCAAAATAGGCTTGTGATTACAGTGATCATCTTGCTGCTCAGTTTTAGAGGGCTCCGTTCCTACACAGTCCTCATTCCACGTGTAATAAAGAGCATGGTATCTTGGCAGTTTCAGAGCAGGCAGCTTTATCTCAGAATGAGCTCTAGCAGGGAAGTGAGTAGCAGAATACTAAACTCATGCTTTAAAATTGGCTCAACTTTAGACCTTTTTATTGTTATATTCCTGACAATTCCTGCCATCAGCTACCACATCTTACTCTAAATCACATCCTATCCGCGTAGCAGGTTTTGAAAATGAACACAAGATGGCAGAAGAGGAAGTGGAGTTCCTTGGAAGATAAAAAGGGACACAGAAATGAGCTGACAGTGAATCAACAGCCATGCACTTTTGATTGGTGCTCACGGTTCTCATCGTGATGAGAGAAACTTCCCTTTCTATCATGAGAGGAATGGACACAAAATCTATTTGAAAAAGGGGAATCCCAACCAAGGCTGCTGGATAACTGCCATGGCACATGAAACGATTGTGGTGTAGCACAACAAATTATGATTTAATTTATTTTAAACCACAGGAAAAAAAATACAAATAGGACTACAGATTTGTTTGATACTGATATCTAGTAAATGTATTGTCAAAATAGCAATAAAATACCAGCTTGAGTCAGTTGTAGACCTGAAGCCGCAGTGATAGAGCATGACAATACTCAGGAAGTAAGCAGATAAGTCGAAAAGCAAGTGAGCATAGAAGTAGAAAAGTAAGCTAAATTTGCTTGTCACAGTCTTCCTGCCTTCAGCCACATCCTCACTCCTCCTGCATTCTCCATCCGTCCACCAGATGCCCTCAGACTTTCTCACCTGTCCTGTCACCAAGGGCGCCGGAAGCGGGGGGGCCAGGGGGCCATTGGCCCCCCCACTTTTCAGCCCTGCCCCACATTTTCGCAGCGGCGGATGCCGTGGAACACTGTACAAATCCCGTTTCAATAATTCCCCTCTACTCTAAAGTCGCATCTAAAACGCGATCTGATATAGCTGTGTATATTTTGTTATGTTTGATTGTTATATTCAATCTCATTAGCTACAGGCATTTTTTAAGCTTGTAAAGCTCTCACTCGCCACTCTGCTGTTCCACAGCGCCGCTTCCCCTCCCTCTGCTGAAATTATGAATGTAAGGCGTATAGTAATCATAGATAACACGGCAGGGTCCGTTACAGTTTGTTTTTATCTGATTTCAAATAAACAAAGTCTTGGCTTTCAGAATATTAAACTTGTTTCGGCAAATTCAGATGATAAATACAACTTTGAAGCTTGTAACGGCATAATTAGAAGCGGAGAAGGAGTAACTTTACGTCACTGCAGGCATAACAGCCGGTGTTTCTCGTGAGTGTTTTCCCCGGGAAACAAACACAATACACACAAACGCAAAAATACACACACACTCGCGGGCTTCCCCCAGACCAGTAATCCAAACGAAAATATCTTCCCTCCGTACTATTTTGATCATTTGCTCCGCTAATCAATCAGATCGATCCAGAGAAGAGGAAACTTTAAAGGCCTTTTTCTCAAAATGATGACTCTGTAACAGTCATTATATAATGTGACATATTTTGCTTAATATTTGGAGTAGCCTACAACAATCCTGATATCATTAGAAAGCTATGAATCTCCTCTTTCCAGCAGTGTATACAACTCAAAATGTGTCTTCGGGTCAATGCCACTGATTTCGATGGAGCAGGTCACTTTGCATTAGGTAAAATAAAGCAGGCAGACATAACAGGAAGAATATGTACATTTTAACCCAATCAAATAGGACATTGTCACACCATTCAAATGTATCCATGTAAATTACAACCAATAAAAAAGCTTAGATTTGTTTATTCGTTACGTTGTTTACTTTATTTGTTACGTTGTTCTGTGTGTGTCAGCCGTTAACATAGATAGAAAGAATATATACACTTGCAAACACGTCAGAAGAACCAGCGCAGAAGAAAACACAGTAAATACAGTCAATCTAAACTTAAATTAACAACTGGAAGGTCACATCCCTGACATCCACGTCTCCGGAGCCTGGACCTTCATCAATCATAGAACCAGCGAAGCCAGATGAACCCAAAAGCAGCAGCTCCTCTGCGGCCGCAGAGACTGTCAAAACCGCCGCCACCCCCGTCGTTGAACCGAAACATGGTTCCGACTGCATGGAGGTTTGTTGTCGGGACATTGAGACGGGTAAAGCTGCAGCTAACTGACCGCTAGATTATTTGGGCAAAGAGAAAGGTACTTCAACGCAGAATGGTACAAAAACAGAGAGTGGTTCATTATTTGCAAAACCACTAAACGGACCTTCTGTGAAATATGCAGATTTGCTGCTGTCAAACGGCTTGTAACTTTCTCAAAATGTGGAGATGATAGCTTTGTTAATACCGGAGTTAATAACTGGAAAAGTGCCCAAGCCTCCTGGACAGCCACGAAAAGTCTAATTTCCACAGAGAGTGTATTAAAAAAAAGTGCGCTTTTTTCAGTCAACATACAGCTTGTCAAACAACAGCGTATTGAGCAGGAAAAAAGAAGAGATGAAATGATGGAGCAACTGAGCAATCAGGGGGCATGCGGATAAGGAGAGCAATTTCCAAAAGAACTCGTAGCTGAGAAAAACCCCACTCTGAAAAGCTTCATGCTCACCGGGAAATATGCATCATGAGACAATTAATTAACTTATAAATCTAATGTATCGGGAGTCTCTCACCACTATATTAACTGAAATTTAAAAGCAATACAAAACATGCAGTTATTGTGCTTCCAGCAAACATCCACTGATAAACTGCGATGTTAACAACCTCATGATAACCTCATATTTTTTTAACTTAGGATCTACCTGTGTTTAGTCTAGAAAAAGGTAAATGTGCATTTTATTATAAAGGTGTGTATATTTACAGACTGTTGCAAAAACTAAGAAGCTTATAAACATCAGGTTTAAAACTAAAAGAGCTTTACAAAAAAGTAACACAATTAGAGATGTTTGGAGTTTTATTTTAGTTATTAATTCACATTTTTTGTCAAAGAGATGCTGATTTGATACCGTTAATACAGTTACGGCATTTCCTGTTTCTGCCGGAGAGAGGGGAGTTTGTCCCAAAGTTTGCCGCTGTATCTACTCCC